GTTAATTTAATTTAAAAGTTTGTATTTAAGTAATAATTTATTTAATATTAGGTAATCAGATACAAGCTTTCATATAAGGCTAGTGATGTGGTATTAAAGTTTATAAAAAATTATAGTCAAGTTTCAAAGAAAACTCTGCCAAGATCAACAAAGGATAGTCTTCTATTTTTGGATACATTGAGAGAAGACCACACTAGGTCTTTTTTAAAACCTGTTGCGCAAATAAAAGATCAAGTATATTCATTCGAATTTAGGCCAATTCTTTCAGCAGTTAAGAAAATTCTTCAACATGGAGAAATTGCAGCAAACTGTATATTTGATTACCAGGAAGTTTATATATCAGTTGAGGCAAACACTGTAAAATTTTTAGATATACTGTATTAAGGATATATTAATTTAGCAAATTTTTGATATAATTCTAAACTTAATATTTCTTTAGAGATGCCAAGAAAAAGTATTCTCTGAATTTTACAATTGCGAATGGTGGAGTCATGCACAACAACATATTCCTTTTGAAAATAAGGTCTTGGCTATAATACTATACTCAGATGCAACTACACTTGACTATTTAGAGAAAAGTTCACGGCACCCAATATATATCAGTTTGGAAAATATTCCAACAACTCTTCATAATAGAGCTGAGACAAAGGCACTTGTTGGTATTATATCGATATTGAAAGGAACAAAAGAAAAAGAACAAACACCACAGTTTAGACAGTTAATTCGATCAATCTTTTACAAATGTATTAACATATTAATTGAGCCATTACAATTACAATATTGTTCTGAAATATTATTAAAGGTTAACAAATATATTATAAGGTGTAATATGATGTTTGCCTGTATTATCAGGGACTGGCCTGAAAACTGTAAATCATGTTTAACCTATAGTGAAACAAGTTGTGCATGTCCTTGCCACACCTGTCTCATAGGAAAGGATGAATTAAATACTATTAAATTATCTGCCAATCACAAAATCACCCAAACAGAAGATCAGATGAGATAAATCATTGCAATGAGACAGAGCAAAAAGTAATCATTACATGAAGAAATAAATAGCTTTTGGAATTATCTGTAAGTAGTTAATAATACAACTTAATTAATATTAAAATTTTATTTAATTAAAGTAGCCAATTGGTATCCATTATGAAAAAGGGTATTAAAAAAAATTTATTTAACTATATACATAATTTATATTCATTATTTTAAAAATTTTAATATTTATATGGAAACAGTTCCGAAGCGAATACACCATTTAGATCTTGGACTCTTTTCATACATGGTTAAGTTCACATGAGATCTCTTGAAAGTTCACGGCAGAAATACTTTTATAATTAAAATAGATCAAAGACTCGGTATAATACCACGTTATCCAGGGCTAAAGATATTTAATATTGGGCTTGCTAATCTTGCATTGTTTACAGCATCTGAATACAGGCATATAATGAAAGTTATGCCTTTTGTTCTCGAAGAGCTTTTTACAAAAAATAAAAATAAACTACTTGTTCATATATTCATTAATTGGAACAAAATGTATCGTTATTCGATACAGCATAAATTTACACAAACTGATCTTCTTCAATTTGAGGTTAATAATTTTTATAAAGATTTTTTTTTTTTTATAATTGGGTCTGCACTAGGGTTTGAAACCAAATTTATTTTTTAAATTTGGATTTATTTAATTAGCGATCTTTCAGCTTTAAATTTAAATTTGAATTATTAAATTAAAATCTGATTTTATTTCAGAATCACTTTATTGATCAAATTTCAACAATAATGATACAAAAAGTAAATGTCAAAATAAATAGCATTATTGTATATACATATCTGACAAAAACATTCGACCAACTAAAAACAAAACTATTTAATAATTACAGGGTGATCGAATACTTTTGTTCTCTGCACTTTTTGTTACAGATTGACATTGCAGATTTGGTCAATTCAGTTTTATATCTGAATTTAAATTAAATCTGAAGATCAAATCTAGTTCCAAACTTTAGTCTGTACTAGTAATATTACTAATGTCAGTTGATTTTTTTTTTTTAAATAAAAGTCGATTCAAACATAGACAAAAAATTTTATTGATATTATTGGCTCATTTACGAAGAATGACTGTCAGTTTTTAAAATTTTACTACTGAATATATTATACAATCGAAACAATTAAGGAATATAGAAATCTAAATGGATTAAGTGCTGACACATATGAGGCGCTTCATAAGTTTTATATTAAAACTCCTTACAGTATGTCTAACAAACACGATACTGATAAGCAGATTTTGCAAAAGGTTTTTTTTGTATTTAAAGTACTTACATATATACATATGCACTTAGCATATAATTTGTACTAATATAGTAATATGTACTTATTAGATGGCATGAACAATTATGATAAATAACCATATTGTTTCAGAAAATTACCAATCCAAAATAAAAAAAAAATTGAGACAATTTAGAAAAAAATATTGTACCATACCTCTGTATCTTCTAAGGTCACTTGCTGAACTATATGAGCATGATAAAGAAAGTATTACTGAGATCTTTGAAGGTTTATGCCATCTTGCTCCTGCAATAAATGACTATTTTAAACTTGTACTATCTATGCGTGAAATAAATATTGAGAAATCAGAAGCAACTTTAATATTATATGAATCTTTCATATTATCTAATGAAGAACAAGTAAGAGCTTTAAAAAATTATTACAATACATCGATGTTTAGTGATGTTGCTATTCTTATGGACTCAGAGCAAAAATTTGAAGTATGTAATGGATATTGTTTTGTGAAGATATATATTTAAAATAAATGTAGTTTTATTCATAATTTATATTAACTATTTTAATCTTATAGGTTTTGTTATTGATTTGTATTATATTTAAAAATGCTTCAATATTTAATCTAGCACTTGTTCATTGGTATGATTTTAAACACCCAAATATCCCTTTAAAACTTTATAAATTCAAGTGCCTTTATTTATAATTAACAATTATTATTATTATTTTTTTTTTAATATTAAGGTGACCACTTAGGCTCTTGGTCACTTTATTAATACAAGCGATTAGGCCATATATCCAAAGACTTGACTACATGTTACATTGGTATTACAAGAGTACAAATAGCCACACATACAACTTTTGGTTATCTAATTTAAGTAGTCCACCTGAAGGTTCTACACTAGCTGCCATACCTATAGCCTAACTAGGAAGCTATCTATTTAAACTCTTTGGTACCACCTCTGTCCCATACTTCCTTCTAATATACCCTTTCAGGGTAATTTGCCGTTAAAGACCCTAAGACTTTAGCCAAACCAACACTCATTCCTTTCAGAACGGGGGGGCATTTATTCTTGTAGTAAAACTAACAAAATGGTACATGTCCCACACATGTGCTCACCTGCATGTTTGATAACATTTCCCTTAACTAGTACCTGCTATGCTACTGTCGCCTAGTTCATATCTCAAGCCATCTTTGGATACTGCTGCAACCCGGTCCATATCTCAAGCCACAACCTTCCTAATTTAGTTCCCTGGTATTTACTCTTGCCCTTGCAAGGTTCATAACAACCCCGGTGCCCACATTCAAACCTTCTTCTTTCCTGGATTCTTTATCGGTCCCTCCCTTACTTCCAGTTAGCAACCCAGAAGAGTTGGTCTGCCCAGGTTCTAAGTGCCTCATGGTCACCCTTCCCTTGGTACATGCTTCCAAAGCACATGTTCTTTTCTCCGGTTTGGCATTCTGGCAGTTTGGCTAGTATATCCCCCACTTAAGAACCTGGTATTCGGTTCTCTGATCCAAGTCTCTGGTTCCGAATCTAGCCTTCCTGTAGTACCGTCAAAGATTATTGCTACTCCCAACTCAGGACTTGCCAAACGGGTTTTCAGTCATTCCAGTTTCCTGGATTTATTGTGCTAAAGCTCCCATTCGAGATGGTATGACCAAGGTTACAGATATCCAAGCCCAACCGATCGTTGATAACTGTTAACTGTATCACAGGTCTAATTTTCAAAATCGTCATCCGTGAGATTTGAACTCTAGACCTTCCACATGGGGGTGCAGCAACTCCACCACTTCACTAGGTCGCCACACTCTTCAATTAACAATTATTTACAATATAATTCTGATAGAATCAATTAATAATATTGTTCATATTGTTCTATAGTTTGATGCAATGAATTCATACTATGTTAATATTTTTATATAACTAATTTATATGGATGTTTTCTTCATATACAGTATAATTTATTACTTACTTGTTGCATATTAGTAAGAAAATTTGTAGCCTTTTAATATACTGAACGAGTACATGCGTCTTGTATTATGTTATGATTTTTTAATTTATGTTTTAATTTTTTATCTGCAGTATACAAAAGATTTAATAAAAACTAAATAAGAAGTTACTCAAAGTATCTAAATGGAATACTGTATAATCTTATTGCACAGCTTATGCAATAGAAACAGGCAACTAGCTATTGTCAGTCTTTTTCAGATCCATATAGAGCACCATCAAGGTACATATACATGTGTTATTTAATATGATGGATTAAAATGAAATCAGATTAAAATGAAATATTATACAATGTAAAAAATAGACGACCTAACAAAAAATAAAATTTTTGAGATGCATTTTTTAGAGTTAGGGGTTAGGATTAGAGGTTAGTTTTAGAGTAGAGTTTATGATAAACAAGTATAAGTAGGTTTTAGAGTGTTAAATAGAAACCTTCATTTCATTTAATTCTATTTCATTATGATCTGTGATATTTAATATTCATAGATCATATACTTAATCTTTGATTTATTTAGCGAAAAAGACTCTTACGATTTTGAAGATGGGCAAAATAAAGATGCATTGGTATTTAATGTAAGCCAAAATTCATATATTTATTAATAGCCTAAATTGTGGATTAAATATTTAATGCTTCAGTGGACGATAATAGCTCAGAAAGGTTGTTACCACTGTTTTTATTTGTCATATGGCTTCCAAATCAAGCAGCAATGAATTTAATCAGCATCATCGAGAAAATCTTATATAACATAAAAAATTGCGAAATTTATGCTTATAAATTAAATGATTTAGAAAAAATGTGTCATTCATTGTATAAGATCTACAATGATGTTAACCATAATTGTCAAACAAATAAGTAATCATTGGCAAAAAGATAAGAAAAAAGCAAATTTGGTAGCATTTAGAAGCAGGCATATCCAGACAGCGAGCTGCTAGTACAAGAAATCCACAGAGCTTTCAAAACTAAAGTAAACATTTGACAAATTTGATAATATAATTGTCTAATTTTGACATGTAATTTTTCTAAAAAAAATATTGTATTTGTTTCATCCTCAAAACACTTGTAATCACATCCTCATTATCGCAATTTAGCATTACACTACCTTCAAATGATAATTTACAATTTGGCTTACAAGACATTGTGGAATTTGTGCACTAAAAAGCTCAAAAACTTGGTTTTAAAATTTTCTCAAACGTGATAAAATTAACGCATTCTAAGAAAAAAAGGTCAATCTAAATAGTAATGATAAAAGTACGTTCACAATCCTGTCAAGAACATACAGTATATAAATGCATAAAGGTCAACACTATCAAAATCAAAAAAGAAAAAAAAAAAAACTTTTTTTCTCAGATACTAAAATAATCATTCCTGTAAGATGCTTCTCTTGCAGTAAAGTTATTAGAAATAAATAGAAAACATATCAAACTATGCTTAAGAGTGATTATAATGAAAGAGCTGCAATAAATAAAATTGGGATTCAAAGATATTGTTGCCAATGCATGATCTTGACTCATACAGATTTAATTACAAAATTACTTCAATATAACCCTCAAGAGAGAAGTCTATACCAATTAAAAGAACTGGCTCAAGATCACCTGCAAGAAATGGTTAAGGAATATGATGACATAATGTAAATGGGATCCTTTTAATAAAGCATTAGCATAGATAGGTTTTGAGCTTCATTTTGGCAATCTTGAATGGCAATTAATTTTAAGTATGTAATAATAAAGAATACATATAATCAAACTTGAATATGAATAATAAATAATGATTTTCAGATTTATAAAAAAAAAAAAAAGAAAGAAATGTTAATTCTCAAGAATCACCTATACACGTATAAAATTCTTATATAATATTTATATAGAGTTTACAATATTTATATCATAATTTTATTTATAATTTGTTGACATATAAAAATTATATAATAATAATACATAATATATAAATACATAAAATTATATAAAAATTATATGTAAAATTATATTTATATAATTATAAATATAGTTTTTATAAATCTTATATTAAATTATATATAATTGTTATTATATAGAATTTTTATATAAATTATTTATATAAAATTTATAACTATATAAAATTTATATAAATATTT